TTATTGAAAAGTAGTTCTGATGACCCGGGGGCCAGATGCAGGGAGGTCTCTTTCCAGTAGACCAAAGAGTATTTCCCATTCAGTTGGGAATGGCTTCTAAATTCTTTTTCCCCTCCCCTAAAAAAAGGTACTAGTTAGATCCAAAGGAAGGATACTTTAGTAGCCAATGGAAAGCATGCATGGTTTTAACAACAGAACAATATTTGTCACTATTAAAAAATGTCAATTTCCTTAAAAACCACAGGTAGACATATGTACCATGATAGTTCCATAGCAGGAAATAATCTACATTTCAGAGACTGCTAATTGCTTCCCCAGATCCATTCTGACCTTCTTCCTTGGTAATGAGAACCCTAACATTTAGCAGTCATTAAAACCAACCTGATTAAAAAAACCACATTCTCCATGTGTCATGTGACTTAATTCAAGCCAGTGACATGAAAAACTCAGTGTTCTATGGAAATGAGAGGAAATACACTGGGTATGTTCTGTTCACCCCTCCAAATCAATTCTACACCCTTCTCCATCATGCTTTCTGCCCTGGAAAATGGAATTTTATAGAATACATCAATGGGCTCCCTTGATCTCTGACTTCCATTTGGGCTCGGCCAAGGAGACACTAAGAGGAGACTCTGAAGGATGGAAGGGGAGAAAGTTTGGGATCAAATGCATTGATGACATATTTGCAGTTCTTTTTGTCCCCAGGATATATCCAATGAGGGATTTACATTCAAAGTAGTTTGATTTAAAGTCATTTGAAAAAAAAAAACTCTTCTCTGTCTATGCCAGGCTATAAGTTGGCATGGTGTATTCCTTCACCAAAGCCAAGCCTCCTGTATGATGGCCCTTCATGACAGCTACAGCTCTCTGTACATTCATACATCTGATACGTGACTCTGTACTCTTCCCTCTCCCTGTCCCTTCAAGCCTACTGGTGGTAACAACTCCCCTAGTTGATAGTCCCAGGTAACTAGTTACTTTCCTCCTAGTTCTGCTCACTCTTGTCAGCAGTTCTTTTATAAAACCTGCTCATTTATCTCATTTGAGTATATCATTAGGGCTGCACAATTCCCCTCCTCAATTTTTCTTCCCACTGGCTGGAATGTAGACGTGATGATGAGGGCTGGAGCAACCATCTTGGACCATATGGAAGGAAGCAATGGATGGTAGAGCAGAAAGGTAAAAAGGACCCTTAGTCTTTGATGACCATGGACTGACACATCAGCTCTTGACTACTTAAATCTCTAGTTGTTTTTTTATACCTCAGTCCTGCCCCTGAATGTCCTCTTAGTCACCACTGCTCATGTACTTCAAGGTCTGTTTCCTCCATACCAGACATCTCCACTTACTTAGTGGAAGCCTCCTTAGCCCAGGAGTGGTAGGTCCGCATTTGGTCTCTGCAGGGCAAAGTGACCTTGTGGTCTTTCATGCTTCCGTAGTCACAAATAGGAAGTGAAACAAAAGCCTCTTTGCTCTTAGATTTCCCCTTGATTTATCTAAAATAACTTCCTGCTCCAGGACCTGTTTCTCTACTTCCAATTTTTTCTTCCCATAATCCATTGAGACTGGAAGGGACTGGCAGAGTTCCTTTGCCTTACATGGTACCTGGAATTTTCTCTACCCTTTAGCTTATAATAGGATTCCATGATTAAGTTAGCTAGGCCTCATGTACTAATGGGAATGTAAAGAAATTTAGAAAATCTAACTGATCATCTTGCAATGCACTCAAAATATTTCAATTTTCCAACCAAAGAGGAATCCCCCCTTTCTTATAAAACACCAAAGCCCACTGCTTTAATTGGTGTAGAGACCCGGGGGCAATAGAATTCAGGTAGGAAGATGCATCTGAAAACATTTAAAAGAGTGTGATCCAATTGTATTAATATCCCCGGAGTCAAGCTCAGTGCCTAGCTGCACTTTATTGAGTGACTATATGACCACCAACCATCAGACTGTGAGCTTGGCACTGGGGACACGAGAACCAAGGGTCACTCTCTTTAGGAGCTTAGGATCTATTTGGGAACACAGCTGCTAAGTGACAAATGAACTAGGCGGTAGGTGCTTTAAAACACTGCCTCTCAAAATTAATGTTCATAGGAGTCATCTAGGGATCTTGTTAAACTGCAGACTGATTCAGTAGAGCTAGGGTGGGGCCAGAGAATTTGCAACACTAACATGCCTTCACAGGATGCCAAAGCTATGAGAACGTGGACCTCATTCTGGAAACAAAGTTAAGGAGAGCCAGGGAAAGCAAGGCTTGACACAGAGAGGATTGACCTGAACCCTAACAAACAAACAAACAAACAAACAACAAAAAAATGAAGAATAGAATAGAGAGAAGCAGAGGACATACAGAGAAAGAGAGAGAAACAAAGAGAAGGAAAGAGGCAGTCTGGATGGGAGTGGTAGTGTGAGCAAATGTTGGGAGGCAGGACTATCTCCAACATGCCTGAGGGTTGGTAAGCAGACCAATGGGAAGAGAGCAGGTGAGGAGAACCGAGGGAAGGGGGAACAACAGATGGAAACCAGATTCGGAATGAAGCGTGAATTGGGTGAATGTCACACGCAGGCTCTGCCAGCAATGTCATCAGATTAAAGGCCATCAGTAGGTTTTGATGTCTTAGCAACACCCGGACAAAGAATGTACTGACCCAGTACAGACAGAATCCATACCAAAAAGCCCAGTTAGTCGTGGACTTCCTCCTCAGCCACGATAAGGGAGAGGGCTTCTAACTTCCCATAGGAGGAAGGGAAATCTAGTTCTGCTGGGCTTCCTTAGCACCTGTCTTTTCCCCTCCCACGTGACCACAGGGCTTTAGTAAATTCCATGCATCTTGAAGTCACAGTGACAGCCATCCCCCCAAATCCATTCCTGGTACTTCTCTTCACTTGAAATACCCAGAAGACAGCTGGGAGGAGAGGAGAGAGCTTAGAGTTCTCCGTAAGGAAGCACAATACTCAGCTTGAAAATCTAAATCCAGGCCATTTTGATCGAGAACACAGGAAGCACTAGTCATTATTGCTACCTAGTCTTTCCCACTAATAGACGGCAGGCAGTTGGCCACCGGTGCTTGGAGGAAGTCAGGTTGTTTTATTTTTAGCTCAGTACAGAAGGGGGGAAAGTTCCAACCTGTTTACACCAGAGAGTCAGTCCTTGCAAAGCCCTAAGGGCCACTGCCCTGTACTGGAGGCATTTGCTACCTCTCGAACACAGAGACGAAATGACAGAGGTCTTCACCTGCTCTCAGCTGGACCACGGATGAGGATTGGAGGGTACGTTGTTTCCATTTGGTACAGCTGAGAAGTCAACATTACTTACCGGCCTGAAATTCAGCTGCCAAGATTTGCTCTCCAGAAGAATGCTGGTTACTGGGTCTGTTGAAAAATCTGAATGCCCAAGACAAGCCTCACATGTAACTGCCCTTGCTTATTAAAACTGTCACCTACCAATCCAGAGTGGTCTGCCTCTTTTTTGGGGGTCTCTCCCTGTCCTCCTAAGGGGCCCGTTTCAGATTTCACCCCTGGGAAATTCTCAAGTTTGCAAACCCACACCAGTGTGCTGTAACATCAGACTTTGCAGGACTCGGGATTCCCACGTGGCTCACGGGTCGCCTCCGCCACAGCACCCGCTCTCAATCCCACCCTGAAGAAGGCACCGTTGGCACATCGCGTCTTCCCCTTGCTCTTCTAGCTGCTGTACTGGGTAGTCATGAGACTTTGGAGAGGACAAAAGAAGCAGAGGTGGGAAGAGGAGCTGTAAAGTCCCCACACGGACACCTAAAAGTAGGCAGGATGGGCAATGGCTTCCCAGATGTAATCAAGGTTCACGAGAGAGCTTCCAGATGAATCCTTCAACAGCCTGCCATCCCGTGAGCAGACTGACTGGAGGAAGACCTAACACATTAACTATACACACTCTTTGCTAGGATTTCTTTGTCATGGTAGCTAACACCAGATGTAAGGCTTCCAAGGGACTAGGACATAGTAGGCGTAAGTTTTGTCTGTGAATGAAACTCACACCAGGAAGCAGTGTGAGAACTAGGAGTGTTGGTAAAAAGGGGGAAAGATCAAAGTGTGGAAGAAAACCTTGCAGGAGACAGACTGCTAGCATGCAGGAGACAGATTCCTTCCATTTCACTGACTACTGACATGTGGGTCCAAGGTCCTGGTATTCCCTTTAGAGCCTTTCTGCCATCACTTTCCCGAGTCAATATATTTCAAAGCTAAAAGAGGCCACTTTTATTTACTGCTTACTGCTTACATCCCTTGCTTCCTGCTGCTTCTGCTAATCATGTCTGGATTTGCTGGTCTACCACAGGGCCAACGCAGGAACAGAAAAGACTAGGGAGGAGTAAGGGACAGCTGATCAAATGTCCCTGGGACGGAGGCCACCAGACCTGAAGAGCAGAGGTGTTTGGGTAGGAGAACATGAAAGGCAGTGGGGAAATACACATACCGTATCAGTGAAAAACCCCCATATTAGAGTCAAACAAACTTGGAATTAACGATCATCTGACTTGAGAATTTGAACATGCCTCCAGAGTCACTGAGATCTTACTCCTACCACCTCCTCTCATACCCTTGACAACTGATGGATCATAACAAGGTCCACATTTGGATATCTCCCATCCTAAAGAAGTGCTTCCTGATGATGCCACCATGTAAAAAATATATAGCGCCACGCACCCACAGTTTCTACTTTCCATCTAATATCCAATTTAAAATCCAAAAATAAACTATAGTATATCAAAAAGTCACTTGCTCAAACCCAAACGATGGGGCTTTAGTTACTAAATAAAGACACTCACTTTATCTTGTTCATGCTGATGTCCAAGAGGATTGTTAAGGCTTATATTTAGAACCTTTTAAATCTAGAATGTAAAGACAGGAAAGCTCTGCTTTCCCCCAAACCACTTTATCAGCTCAAAATATTAGCTATTTATTCAACTCTATTCCCCTCAAGTAAAACTAAAAATGTGTAGGTAACAAAGAAGAAATACCTTTAGTCCCACGTTTGAATCAATTCGGCTCTAGGGGATACTTTGCCAAAAAACCATGCTTAATAAGTATACTTCGTAGATTCTGGACAAACATCTAAAATAAAACAAAGTTAAATGAATTTACTGAAGGATCTCCCCCAAATTATTAATAAACAAATATTCTTCGGTTTCCAAGGCATTTGATATTGCTCTCCATTTTTAGGAAATTTTAACACATGCTTTCCTTTTGAAACCAATAGCTAGTTACGAGAAAGAAGGAATCCATGATAAAGATGGATGGGAATCCTGCCAATTGAAACAACATGGATGGACCCTGATGGCATTAATAAATGGAATTACTTGAATTATTTTAAAAATCCATTTTCACTCACTGACATTGTAACTCTACATTTTTTTGGTGGTTTTTCCAGGCATAGTATATGTCCCTAAGTTTCACAGTCTACAGAAAGTTAGTATTGAACTACCTCACATAAAACATAGAAACCTTGAAATCACATAGTTTTTTTTAATTCTGGCAAACTTCGTGCCACAGTGCTTATACAAATAATACTTAAATACATTTTAAAACCACAAACAATGGGGCGCCTGAGTGGCTCAGTTGGTGAAGCGTCTGCCTTCGGCTCAGGTCGTGATCTCAGGGTCCTGGGATGAGTTCCGCATCGGGCTCCTTGCTCAATGGGGAGTCTGCTTCTCCCTCTCACGCTCCCTTTGTGTTCTCTCTCAAATAAATAAATAAAATCTTTTAAAAAAACACCACACAAATAACGTTATTATGTTTTGTTTTAAATAGTCCTGTTTTTTAAAAATTAAATAAAAAAAAATATTTGTTTACCAAGACATAGCCATCTGATACTCTTTATCCCTTCCCAAAGACCAATGTTTTCTTCTTATATCATTTCCCTTCAGACTAAAGAAATTCTATTAGCATTTCTTGTATTGAAGTTCTGTCAGCAATGAACTTTCTTAGAATTCTTTAATCTGAAAGTGTTTTTATTTTACCTTCCTTATTGAAAAATCACTTTTTGTAGGATATTGAACTCTTGATTGTCATGTATTGTGTGGTTTTATTTTGTTTCCTTTCAGCACTTTGAAGATGTCATTCCACTGTCTTCTGGTCCTTATATTTTCTGATGAGTAGTATGAGCTCATTAGAATTGCTGTTCTTCCACATGTGTGTCATTTTTACTCTGCCTATTTTCAAGATTTTCTCTTTGTGTTTTTAAAATCCATTTACTGGGGCCCCTGGGTGGCTCAGTCAGTTGAGCAGTTGCCTTTGGCTCACGTCATGATCTCAGGGTCCTGGGATGGGGCCCCACATCAGGCTCCCTGCTCAGCGGGGAGTCTGCTTCTCCCTCTGTCCCTCTCCCATCTTGTACATTCTCTCTCTCTCTCTCAAATAAATAAAATCTTTTTAAAAAATCCATGTACTATGATGTGACTAGATGTTGTCGAACTTCTTGAATGTGTGAATTTTGTCTTTCACCAAATATGGGAACTTTGGTTAATTTCTATTTATATGTGTTCAAGTTCTGCATTCTGCCAATTAAGTCCATTATTTAAAAAAAATCTCAGATACTCTATTATTTCATTTCTAGTATTTTCATTGGGTTCTTTTTATGTTTTCTATTTCTATGCTGAGAATTTTTGTCTTTTCACTTATTATGAGAATATTTTCCTTTGCCTCATTGGACATAATTATAGGAGCTCACTTAAAGTCTTTCCTGACTTTCCAACATCTGGAGTATCTTGTGGTTTGTTTCTGTAAATTACCTTTTATGGGTGACATTTCCTTGATTTGATAGTTTGTTGTTGAATCATTTTGAGTCATATCCTGAACACGATGGATGTGATATTGTGGAGTGTCTGGATTTGGTAATGTTTTTCTGAATAATGTTAATTATTTTGTTTTAGCGGGCAGACTTTGTTATATTCAGACTAAAACCAGTCTCACCTTAGCTCCCCGGCACCAAGTCACAGCCTGCCCACAGGCTAAGTCTGTAAAACCAGAAAATTCACCCATGCCTTTTTCCAAGTTTTAACTCCTCTCCAAAGTCGGCCTACCTCTTTCCATTTTCCAGAGCCTTTGTTGTTGTTGTTGCATTTTGCCCATGTCTGTAGTCTGTGGGACTGTTCTCTTAGGACTTTCCTTCATTATACTGGGAGTAGAAACCTCTGGGGGCTTGCCCTTAAAGTCCCCAAAAAGTCCTAGAAATAGGGTATAAATAAATGTGTAGTAGGGAAGGGAGTAAGATGTTATATCATAACTGTATCAATAATGTGTGAGTCTTCCCAGAGAGTGGTAAGAAAATGTCAAGACCCGGGAGGTCTAATAAATATTAACCTTGCGGATCCATTTCACTTCCATGCATGAGACATGTGATTACTTCTAGAATAATTACTAATTGCTTTCAGTAGAAAGAAAAAAAAAAGTAGCAGATGTTGGTGCCCTCTTCAGCCTGCAAAAGCCAACACTCACATTTCTTTGCCTCCTGTGCCCACACACACAGCAGACTGGGAAAAGTGAGTCATCAAACTTCCAGGAGCATCATTAAAAGACTGGCTTCCCTGGGTGCATAAACATCACAGCTCACTCACCCTGGGGCACTAACTCTGCAGCATCTGCTCTATACCAATGCTTCTCAACCCATAAGTTGTGAGGTACCAGCTTTTGTTTGTTTCTGACCAATGTTTTTATAAAATGCAATAAAAACTATGTGTATATCATAGCAATGTGAACTCGCTATAAGAGTTTATAAACGGGGCACCTGGGTGGTTCAGTCGTTAAGCGTCTACCATCGGCTCAGGTCATGGTCCCGGGGTCCTGGGATCGAGCCCCGCATCGGGCTCCCTGCTCCGCAGGAAGCCTGCTTCTCCCTCTCCCACTCCCCCTGCTTGTGTTCCTTCTTTCGCTGTGTCTCTCTCTCTGTCAAATAAATAAATAAAATCTTTAAAAAAAAAAATAAATAAAAATAAATAAATAAAAAAATTTTAAAAAAAGAGTTTATAAACATTGGGGGAGCCTGGGTGGTTTGGTTGGTTAGGGCCTTGGTCAGGGCTCTTGGTTTCGGCTCAGGTCATGATCTCGGTGTCATGAGATGGGGCCCCACATTGGGCTCCTCGATCAATGCAGAATCTGCTTAAGATTCTCTTTTTCCCTCTCCCTTTGCCCCTCCCCCCACTCTCTCTCTCTAAAATAAATAAATAAAATATTTTTTTTAGAAGAGCTTATTAAAAAAAAGCCTATAAATGTTGTACCTTAACTTCTGGACTTATTGTTGACTGATCACAAATGGTTTATAAAGTAGCACCAGCTACAGTTGTTCACTGTAGTAACTGGCTTCATAAACACAGTTTTATTGGCTTTATTTCCTTCCCTGTCTCACTTCTCCACTTCCTTACTGGTGTTTTCTGGGATCATCTCCCAAATAAACTACTTCTTCTCAAATGCTCACCTCTGGTCTGCTTCTAGAAGAATCCGACCTAAGTCATGGGAAAAATCCAGCTATACTATTAAATATAACACTAATTGGAGTGCTTAGTACTGAGTCAATAAACAAAATGTTCTCTTTTGCTCAATGAAAAAGAAACTCATAAATGTTAGATGTAGTGATGTGTGTTATATAAGAAAACTCAGCAAGAATTCAGCATCACGTAATGGAAATTATATGGCTTTTGAGTTTTAATCCGGACTGCTCTGGCTGAAATTCTGATCTTGCCAGTTACTAAGTATGTGATGTGTGCAAGTTTCTGTAATGGATATAATGGTTAAATCTATCTCTTAGGGATATTGGAATTTAAATGATACAATGATGCATTTGAAAATATCTGGCTCAGTCGAAGACATAAAGAAGTCAAAAATTATTTCAATGCCTAGTCCAACTCTGGGAAAAAACACGTGAAAGAGAAAATACCCCATGATGTTGGGGGTCGAGGAGCAGTATTCCAGTAAAGGGGAGAATAGCCTCATGTTGTTTATCATTGTTCTACTGGATAAAATTTACCAATCCAAATTCCCTTTTCTCTTAGAACCAGAAGGGACCTAGCTTAAATGGAGTACAGCACATTGAACAAGAACCTCTCTGGCTTTCTTTGATTGTGCTCTGTGGAATGAAATGAAGCTCGAAAAAAAAAAAGAAAATCAAAGCAACGTCAGCTGCATATGAGGCCACAAGGACACTCAATGTAACCATATCATAAATCATCAAAGAGAAATGCCAGGGAAGATCTATGCTTGTAAGACAGTTTGCCTCATTTAATATATCTAATGCTGCGGTAATAGTGACTCTTTCGTCCCCCCTTTTCCTTTGTTCAGTGGTGATTGTCCCTCTGCTGGACCATTCATCTCTTGCTGAGTTGTCTCCCGACTAGGAGATGTGTACTACTAGCCCTGAGTTATGGGTCCTCAACCTGGAAAATCTTACGTTTCGGTTGGGTGGTGTTCAAAGTTAAAGTGAAGAGCAACCAAAAGCACAGAAGGAGAAAAAATGACCCTTGGCAAAGTTGGTTGAAGAAAAGAATGGATTTTGATAAAAATAAAAATCACTTCCTACTGTGCTTCTTTAGTAAAGAATACATAATGAAAGAACGAGTTTTGGAGAATAATTAAAAGATGATGCTCGTGATGTAAAAAGTCATGAGGAGTCCAATTTAAGCACCCAAATGCACTATGTTACCATCCATCCACAATCATCATTGGGTCACAATGAAATCTTCATCGTGTAGTTTGAAGCCAGTGAATTAAAATGTCAAGTATATTTTCACCTGAAGTCAGTGTCCTAAAAGCAATATACAACCTTCGAAATTCCTTAGGATTTTTGGCAAATCCACTAGGACTACTCACAGCCATGAAACGGTACTGAAACATTAAAAGCTTTAGTCCTTCTCAAGTTGGTCACTAAATCTCCCACTGGAAATCTATTCACGCACAAAAGAGATTAACAGATTTAGCTGAGAATTTGAGAGAAAAACAAAATGAGCAAAATACAAAGGCTCAGCCCAAACGAAAATTATGTGAGTAAAAATAGAATAAGTAGCATTAGTATTCTGACTTTACGTCACACACTACTTACAAATCCTTCAGAAATAAACACACAA